ATCAATACTTGAGCTGCTTAAAAGTTGTAAGATGCTTAAAGTTCTAGATCTATCAGGATTACCTCTACAATCATTCCCAAAGGTAATCACCAAGCTCCTCCTTTTGAAACATCTATATTTGAGGCGTACAAAAATTGAATCAATTCCAAGATCAATAAAGAACCTTCAAGAACTAGAGGCGTTGGATCTTAAACACTCACTTGTCACTGAGTTGCCCGTAGAGATCTTACAACTCCAGAAACTGAGACATCTCGTAATAAGTCACTATGAGGGCTATGGTGCACATTCATATGCTCCAATTGAGAAGCTTCTTGGTTTGAAGCTACCGAATGGAATTGAAGCTCTAAAGTCTTTATACCAACTGGCTTTCATTGAGGCAATCCCTGGCACAATAGAAGAGATAGGGAACATAAAAGAATTGAGAAGGCTTTTTATATTCAAATTGGGAAGAGAGCATGGAATGATTGTCTGTTCATCCATTGAAAAGCTCCAAAATCTTCAATCATTAGCCTTGTTTTCAAAAACAGAAAATGAGATCCTTGATCTGGATCACATTTCATCCCCTTCTGCATCACTTCAGGAGCTCTCTGTGACAGGACGTTTAGAAAAATTTCCGCATTGGATAAAATCTCTCAACAACTTGGTTAAAGTTTATTTCAGGTGGAGTCGGTTAAGAGATGATCCACTCCAGTATCTCCAAGATTTGCCAAGCTTAGTCCGTCTTGAACTTCTTGATGGATATGTTGGTGAAGAACTGTATTTCAAGGCAGGAAAGTTTCTATGTCTTCAAAAGTTATATCTTGACAAGTTTGAACCTCTAAAACATGTGATAATTGAGGAGGGGGCAATGCCAAATCTGAAAAGAATGAAGATTCAGCGGTGCAAATATCTGGAAAGTGTTCCATCTGGAATTGAATGCCTTACCAAGATGGAAGTTCTTAAACTTTTCTACATGAGCCAACGGTTTATTGAGAAAGCGTTTCGTGAAGATAAACATAAAATTGCACACATTCCTACATTACAACTTTGGGAGGATGATGCCTAGAAAACTGATGATGACTTGAGTTTTTAATTATCTTTTTAGTTACTATTTCATTAAATAAATTCAGATTTTAAATCCGTTTATTTCGGATTAATTTTAAATATTAGGAATTTTAATTTTCATCGTTATCTAGATTTGATTAATTATCTAGATTTTAATCTTAATCTAGTTTTTAGTTATTGCTTAAAAATAATGGAGAATTCTGAATGTACAAAATTCTCCTTCACAGAATTTGGCCAGAACTCTCACTGTGCACGGGTCCCATGTGTGATATAAAATGCCAAAAAATCAACCGCCCACCCCGCCAATGTGTCTGTTCTGTAAACTATCTGTAAGCAAAAATTCTGTACGTGTAGCTTCTCTCAAAAATAATAGTTGTAAGCCTTGATGGCAAAAATGTTGTTTTTAAATAATATAATATAATAGTGTGTGAAATTTTTCAATCTCTTCAATTCTTGGACTTCAGTTATGGTTCCGCAAAGATGATTTCATTACTTTGGCAATTTTTTCACAATTTTATTATTATATTTTTATTTTATTTTTATTTTTTTTTGGTTCTCCAATAAAGCAACTGTTACTATGTTACTCCCATTTAAATAATATGAGTCCTACAATGAAACCATTATAGGTTTCAAATCATTAACATGTGATGTATTTTGATGCTCAACCTCCAAAAAAGGAGCATCAGAACCCTTTTAACTCTTCAGTTTCTTGGTGGACCAAGCTCAAACGTATTCGAATGAATCTGTAATAATAAATTACATTTGTAATGCAAATGATGTCTTTATTATCACATATTTGACTCTAAAAGATGAGGTGATAGAAAATTTTATGGATTTTATTTTTCATTTGTTAGATTTTGCCGTAATTAGTCAATGTATATTGTCTCTCCATCATGTGGTACAAGTTCTTTCGTGTCACATTATCTTTACACTCACATGAACGCCCACTCACTTGACAACGTAGGAGAACCTACAAATGTCACTTCTCAAGGACTATCTAACTTTACACGAGATGCGATAGGAGAATTCAAAAATATGCTCTAAGATTGATTGATCAATATTTGATCATGGTGATCTGATGAAAATTGTTGTTTGTACTCTGTTAGGGGTCTCAAGGTATAAATTTCCTGATGATGTTAAATTAAAAGGCAACAACAATGTGTTTCTCTTGGGTTGGGTGATCCATACACAAATATAGCACAGTTTAGGAAGCTTTTTGAGTTGTATATACTTGTGGAAAATGGTGCCAAGTGTATTTGGCTGGTTATGCAATAGTGGATTGGCCAAGTGTATTGTTTCCGCTAAGCAAAATTGGGTGAAGGTCGATCCAAGATTTGAGGATGAATCTGTTGGAAAATAGTGCTCAATATGGGGTTACTTCGTCATATTCTTGAGTGGGATCCATTCCTTTGTAAGATTAAAATTGATTCGTGTCTCCTTTATAAGAACATCGAAATCATATATTTACTTATCAAAAATGAGGGTCGGGTAAAAAAAATAAAAATTGGAGTTCAAAGTGGACCTACTGAAAGATGTTTGTGTTGGAGGAAAAACTATTATAGTTTGTTCCATGTAGAAAAATTAACAAGGCAAAGACTAGTTTATATATGGTCATACTAATCAACTATAGCGTAGACTCTCTCTATGTGCGCACAAGGAAGGTGCAAATCATGAACTGGATAAGCAACTCGAGCTATTGAATTTGTGTGTGAGCGCAATTTGCGTACACGTATATCGAATCGAAATTGGCCCCTTAGAAGGGTCCACGTTTTGCCTTTATTTTTATTTTTTCCCTCCAACTAACTTTTCAACTTCTCCAATTCATAAAACTCTTTTGTTTCAAAAGTTCACCATAATCATTCTCTTAATTGTAATCACCAAATTCCGACAACAGTCAATTATGTGTACATAGTCGACTTTTTTAAAATTAATTGATTTAGTTTTCTTAAGTTCAAATCAATCATACTCTATTAAATCAACTAACCTTATATGCAAGTAAATCAAATTAAGCCTTAATTATGCGCATTCAATCATCAAAGTATTCATTTAATGACAGTAAAAATTGTATCTTTACATTTTATCCAAATTTCGATTTTTACTACTTTTTCACTCGTTACCAATCACAAATCAATGACATAGTTTGGAAGTGGTGGATTAATCGTAATTCTCTACCTAGCAATATTCGTTATAATTATGTACAAAATTCTTACACAGTCTAAACCGGGGCACCGAACTTAACCTAAGGAGTTAAAAATGAGGCAGAAGAATTCTTTGGAGGGCCTTCTTGCTCTGAGACTTAGAGGGGTTGTGCAAAGTGATTTTCCACCACCAGATATTGCCATTTCCACCCATTTTTTCATTCTGGTTTATGATCAAAATAGTTGTAAAGTAAACAAAAATGGCATAATGGGATTAAAAAGGTAGGGTTTGTCGATTTATTCTTTTTATATATATGGTCCACACAGCTCTATTTTTCTGATTCGGGTTCTTTGGTTAAAATATTGTTTTGTGGGTAAGATGCTTCAAATATTATCTGGAAAACTTGGATCTAGGGACCTCATCTTCAACTGATTACATGTGCTAAAAACTGTGTTGATTCTTGACAGCATGAAAAGGAGGGGAAACAGAGTATAAAATTCCTATCCAAATTTAAACAAGACAGTGTATTTAATAACATGCATCGTGACTTGTGAGGGAGTTTTGGAATTACATCTTGTACTTGAAGGTAAGAGGGAGTCTTCCGTCCCATAGGTCTGGTGTACTTAGGAATGGTCAAACTGGTAGAGTTGTCTGGTGGATGGGTAGGTTGAAGTTCCTCATCCAGAGGGTTAAGAGTTGTGAATCTTTAACCTATCATATGCTGGGGGAGTACCTTCTGTAATAGGTATGGAGGTGCCGTTTAGGTCTGCCATTCTTCCGCTAGATTGTTGGAACGAGGCTCGTCATCCGGGTGAAGTCGTGCTGAATGAGTACTATGAGATCAATGATTTATGGAGAGGATTGTTGCACTCAGCCGTTTGTGGGGAGCTCACCGTTTTGTTACTGCTTTTGAAGAGCTGCTGAATGTAAATTATTTCACATGTTCGAAATGAAAGATAGCACGTATTACCAAAATGCATCTGTCCCTGCGCAAGTGAACGATATTTGCACTCATGTCATAACTTGATTCTTGCATGCACTGTCATGGCTTTCCCAGTTTTTGGCCGCAAGGTTGGTGGCGGCCACCTGCTGCATATCTATCGCTAAATCTGTTTACGAGATCTGAGTGCCACGCTTGGCTTCTAAAAGTATCTTCCTTCAAAGAAACAGTCTGGCTTTTGCTCTTTAAATTGATTTTCAATGAAATTGAGGTCCTTTTTCCTAGTTCTACAATGTTGTTTCCATCCGACGCTTGTTTATATGAACAGGTACAATACAATCTGAAATTCCCAAACAAATGCGTCAAAATACCAGTCTAACAACGTGTTGGCCAACATTATTGCCAGCGAACTCAAGTAGTGAGTATCAATATGCCATCTCACGGTGTGGGAGGCCTTTTATTGGAGGTGCAGAACATTGGAGTCCCGTCAATCAAGATCAAGAATTCGACAAATCATAGGAACCATCGTTTGGCGAATCCAACATAGGTCCATTAATCTTGGGCTTTCGAGATTTGACAAATGAGTTGTCAGAGATGGACACTTTTGGGCAGTTCCGGAGGGTTTCTTNAGGTCCATTAATCTTGGGCTTTCGAGATTTGACAAATGAGTTGTCAGAGATGGACACTTTTGGGCAGTTCCGGAGGGTTTCTTGATGGCCACATGTTGGCCACCACGGCCCACAGCTTCATATACAAGTCAATCGCTGCCTCTGTCATAGGGCTGTGTAAGAATAAGTTAATTTCCATATTGGTAAACACGACAGTATGAAAGTCCCAATAACAATGAACAATTATTTATCATAATGTTAAACCATCGTATCAAGAAACCCAAGAAAAAATTTATTGATTAATCATTGACCAGAGTACAAGATTATTGGCTCCTCACATAAGATGAGCTATGTTTTGGTAAGCCATTCAATTCAACGCAGGTAAAATTCACTTCTGAAAAAGCTACAAATGATATTCTATCAGAAAACGTATCTATATTTCAAGCCTACATATATTATGTAAAAACAATCTGCAGCTCTATTGAGGTCCTGGATCTTGTCTCCAACTGCTCTCAAAAATCCCAGGCCTCCGAAAAGCCAAATGAGATCACAGGGCAAAGAAACTAGCTTAAAAATGAAACAAAAACCTGGCCTAAAGATGTCACTTCTTGTGTACAAAGGATCAATTTGACATAATTCCACAACTAAAAGCATTGCCAAAATCGGAATTTGAATGTTTGCTGTGGAATAGGACGGCTAATTTATCTCAAGTTCTGCCTTGTCTTGATCATTCTTTTAAGAGTTGCGAGCCAGAAGTTGCATTCATCCCAGTCGCTAGTAGTGAGAAGTACCTATACCACAATTAACATTCAACAAGTTGCAATCAACTGCGCACGTGAAGTGGGAAAAAAGAAAAATGAAAAAAAGGAAAGAAGAAGTTCTCGAAGGTTTTGCAGGTACCTGGATCTGAAGGGCAGTACTAAAATCACCATTGTCTAAAGCCTGACAGAGTTGTACAAGCCGTTCAGCAGCATTTTTAGAAATGTCTCCACTATTGAGTTTCGCAAACAAGGCACCTAACTTCTTCGAGTTGTCCTCAATTTCCCTCTTCTTTGCTGGATTAGCTCGTGATCCTCCCAATGCTTCGGATGTCTCATTGAAAAGTCTTGTTAAAGTTGCAATAACAGGCTTCTGCTGTGCTGTAGCATATAACATCGAAGAAGCTGTCATGTTTGATAGCTAAAAGGAATAAAGGATTCACCAAAATACCTCAATTTTATTTATTTATTTTTCGCTTCATAAGAACAATAAATTGCAGGAACAATTAAATGGTAGATGCCTAATAGTATTATCATTATGTTTGAGACCCATTTTTTGGAAATATTATATTTCGGAATGGTGTTTGAGGGAGAATGCGTGGTTAAAAATTTTTGGATTTTGCGTTTATTGTTATTTTATTGAAGAATGTGAGATTGCAAAGAAAAAAGAAATGTAAATGGAAATCAAACAAGGGCTATATCCATTCTCAGACTACAGGATTTGTGGAGAAATGGAACTACTTTAACCCTCAAACACCCAAAACCCTCAGCTACTTACAATTAACTAAGACCCTGAGGAACCAAGAATCACTTAGGAAGTCAAAATAGAATTTCACACCATTCCCACAATTCCACAGAAATAACTAAACTTCGGGAGTGATAATTATTGGTATATAAGCACTCTCACAATGAATTCCAGACCCAAACGTTAGAGAGAGTCAACGTCACAATGATTTCTGTGAAGTGCATAGAGCCCATAATTCAGAAAATAAGGTACAATTTTTTATCGTGATAGTATGTATCACAAAAATTAAAAATACCACTCTGTTAATTATTCATTTACCCAGGAGAAGTTCAGGATACCTACAAATTGAGTTCTTGCACGGATATGAACAAAAATAAAAAATAAAACTTCTAATCATCTGAGTGTTTATTCTGAGATTTATTGAATATTTGATGTACCATCATTCAGAAAGAATTTCAATTAAATTCAGATTTTATCATTTATAATAATAAATGTAGCCCCTATTTTGCCCTCATTTCATAAAACTCATTTTATCACAAGCATTTTCAAATATACATTTCATGGGACCCACAACTTTTATCAACATTTCAACCACATTTCACAACTTTTAGCAAAATCTGCTAAAAATCCTTTTTCCTTTTTCAAACCAAACAGGGGCATAATATTGCATGGGAATGTGAACAAAAAACACTGGAAGTGCTTTGTCATATCATTTGTTAATTATTTTTTTATTTGGCCTTTTAAAAGAGAGAACTTCATCAGATCAAAAACCAATAAATCAACCATGTAAAGTACAGGGCTATTTGCTCCTTCAAAATTATTTACTAAATCCAAAAACAGAGGAAACAAAAGCAGAAGTTTACCAGGTACATTTGAAGTATCAACTGTCTGAACTGTGGGTGGGGGAGCAGCAGGAGCTACAGGTGGTTGTACTGGAACAGATTGAGTAGGACTAGGTGGTTTTACTGGATTCATCCCAAGTCCTTGAACCCCTGAATTAGTTACTGACATGAATCCTCTAGATGAGGGAGGAGCCGCAACCTGGGGCATCTTTTGTCCTGGAGTTGGCACAGCCTGAGCTGTGTTAGCACCATATGCAGCACCACCAGGTGGTCCAGCTTGATAACTACGATTAACACCCCCCTAAATGAAAAGAAAAATTTTAGCATGATATCTTGTATGAGAAGATAATTAACAGAAAAGGGATAACATACGGGATATAATTGTGAACCCAACGTTGTTGGTTGTTGATATTGCTCAAAATTTCTTAATGGAGGGAGATTTGTAGGAACAAAGGGTTTCAAAGCAGGCTGAGCAGCAGCGGGCGGTGGAGGAAAATTTCCCTGCAGTAGTTTGAAAATGAAATCTTAATTTGATTACTATCAGATCAAATGTAGCCATTACTAGTCTAACTTTGCATCTTTAGCTCAATTTCCAAAATAAAAATTACACCACAAGGGCAATTACTGTGGGGACTTCAGGCGTTTGGGTTGGAACAAATATGTTAGGCTGTTGTATATTTTGTGGAGAAGGTTGATATGGGAAAGGAGCACTGTATCCCCTCCCAATTGAAGAAGCAAATGACTGCTGATAATTTTCACCATATTGACTGTTTGGAACGCTTGGCTGCATTGGAGATGGTGTTGTTTCCTGAGAGATGATAAGAATATAAATAAATAAGTATCAGGTACTTCAAAACTGGTACGACCACAATATGTTGCAGAGCAGTAAATATTTACCTGATAATAATGTTGAGAGGTATCAGCAACGCCATAACTCAATTGATCGACAGTATCATATGCAAGTCCCGTTTGCGAATGGGAGTTCTCATAAGTCACAGGCTTCTCAACCTCTTTATCTGCAAAATAATTTAAATATCATTGTCCGCATCCAAATGTTGAAAGCAACATAAAACAAGCTTTCAGAAAGTGGGAACAAACCAGATTCAGTGGAAAGAGTAATACGATCTCGCAAGATTGCAAGTTCAGGAGACAATTCTTCAGTCCCTAAAAGCTTCAAGTACTCCATTGCCGTAGTTAAAAGACCTTGACTTGCTAATATTTCAGCATATTTCTCAACTAGTTTGCACAAAGAAGCACTGAATCTCTTCTGCCCAATTGCCAAAGCGAAGACAATTGTCTTTTCCATTAAATCCTTCAAAAAAGAATAAATATAAAAATAAAAGTCAATATTCCTTCGACATAATCTGCGATCTAATAAACCTTACAAGGAAGCATACCTGAAGAAGGTCCAAATATGATTTCCCATCAGGTTCAGTTGACAGACTCTTCGACCATATTTCCACTGTTCTATCAATATTTCCAGCACATATATAACAAAGAGTAGCAGCAAGTGTATTACCAGCAGTCATGAGTCTAGAAGCAAGTGTATCACATAACAGAGTCCATTCTTCTTGCTGGGCAAACTGTACAATAGCAGCAATTAATAACCTCTACAGGGAGGGGAAAGAGAAATACAAAAGCTGTATTTCCATAACTTTGCACCAGTCATCCAAATCAGAAGTGAAATAAACTGGGGATGAATTGATATATAAGGTAGGAATAACAAAGTCACACCACTTTGCAAGCACACTGAAGATTGATGTTATGCATTTAAACTTCTAATAAAGCATAGGCACGACATCCTTCAAAGTCAGATATGGGGCTTCTATATTATACTCGTATGCATATTTCTACATGTGTGGGGGTGTGGGGGTGTGTGTGTGTGTGTGTGTGTATATATAATGTACATGTATAGTGACAGCATAATAGACAACTACGAAAGGCTTGCATTATAAAATCAATCAAGTAGTTCTGTCCTGATGACTAAGAAAAAGCAGATGGATTGAATAGTACCAAAGACTTCAGCAAAGCAAAACAAAAGAACAGTGGGAACATTACAATTCTAAGAACATATTAATTTTCTTCAGTCTAAATTGATCATGAATGACCACAAAAAGAAACTTGATTTTCTTTTCTTTTCTTTTTTTTTTTTTTGCATAATAGACAACTACGAAAGGCTTGCATTATAAAATCAATCAAGTAGTTCTGTCCTGATGACTAAGAAAAAGCAGATGGATTGAATAGTACCAAAGACTTCAGCAAAGCAAAACAAAAGAACAGTGGGAACATTACAATTCTAAGAACATATTAATTTTCTTCAGTCTAAATTGATCATGAATGACCACAAAAAGAAACTTGATTTTCTTTTCTTTTCTTTTTTTTTTTTTCTTTTTTTTCTTTTTTTTAAAAGACTCACCGTGCAGAGGAGAGCAAGTGTTTCCTTCCATGATTTCAGAGGCCTAGTGTTTACTAAGCTCATCAGATCATTGTTAACCATTGCAGAAACAACCTAAAATATAAAAAAATATCAGAGAAACCCTTGATGATGAATAAAACAACACATCAACACAGAGACATCGTGAAGGGAACAGAGAAAGGTTCCCAGATTTCCAATCCAACAATAAGGCGAACTTTGACAACCTTCAGATAGGGAGAACGACTTGTTTTGAGGTATTGATCACGTGTGCGCTCCCATAAGGGAACACCACCAACATGAGCAATAACTAAAGCATCAGCCATTCTATTTGCAGTAATGCATTGTGCAACTGCCCCCTTATAGTCCCCGACAACCAAAGCACGTTGAACAGCATCATCAAATGAAGGTTCAGAACTCTCTTCTTGTCCATCCAATTCTGGTTCGGACTCTTTTACACCAGGAACAGAGTCACCAGTGATGAACTCATTTCCTGAAGTTGACAAAGGTGTATCTGCCTTGGGGCTGGGAAGATTGTTAAAGAAATCTTCACCATTGTCAGCAAATATGGTTGGTTCTTTGTTCCCAGAAAGTTCTTCATTTGTAGTTTCATCATGAGCAAGATCATTTATTTTCTCAGAGATGTTATTCAATGCAGTATCATTTTGTTCAGCTGACACATTGAAACCAAGATGGGAAAGCAGCTTTGACCTCGCAGATCCATCATCAGCAAACATAACCTTCATGAATCCCCATGTTTCCTTCTCAGCCTCAGATCTGCGCATAAAATGGGTTAAAGGCAAATTGGAAGCAACAAGATACACCAAACCTAACTCTAATGTAATAACAAGTTCCAATTTATAGTAGACATACTCAGACTCTTGAGATTTCTTTTCACACAA